TTTGAAAAATGTTAAATCTAATATGGAAGGCAGAAAGTATACAAATAACTATAAGGAAAGAAGATGATACATGTAAGAAAATACCATGTACAATTATTCAAAAGCAGATTCAAAAACCAGGCAGAAATGGATGACTTCCCAGAAAACGAGAGTTTTCAGAAATTGACCTAAGAAGAAAGAGAAAACTTGATTAAATAAATTACCATAGGAGGATCTGGAAATGTGAATAAATATCCTATAAATTCAAAAACTATGTCATCTTTGACTCCTCTCTTCCTCTTAATTCATGAGCAAATTCTGTGGATTACACCTTCAAAATATATACAGAACCCCACTACTTCTTACCACCATCACTACCATCTTTGTCTATGCCACCTTCCATGTCCTCTAAGAGCTCTTTATTCCCTACCTGCTTCCCTCACTTCACCCTATAGCCCTGAAGGAATTAGTTAGGTAAAGGGAACTAGAGTTGCTTCTAGTTAAAAGATGAAGCGAACAACATATACCCTTTCTAAAAATATCCTGCCTGGAACAGGCGTGACATGGAGGAAACGTTACATTTTGTTGTAGTTTTTGTTTATTTTGGTGGAAATACATACAGTAAAGCATATGCCAACTCAACATACATAGTTCAGTGACATTGATTACAGTCTTCAAGTTGTGCAACCGTTCTTGCTATCCTTTTCCAAATCATTCCATCTCCATTAACATAAACCCAATGCCAATGCCACCTAAGCAAAAACTATTCCTTTCTCCCTCATTCCCACTCCCTGGTAACCACTAATAACTTTTGGTTTCTATCTATTTGCTAAGGGAATTCTGGTGGTGCTGTGGTTAAAGTGTTGGCCTACTAACCAAAAGATCAGCAGTTCAAATCCACCAGCTGCTCAAGGGAGAAAGAAGAGGCAGTCTGCTTCCATAAAAATTTATGGCCTTGGAAACTCTATGAAGCAGCTCTACCCTGTACTAGAGGGTCACCCTGAGTCTGAACCAACTCAATGGCAGTGGGTTTGGTTTGGTATATACTTGCTAAGGAGCCCTGGCAGCACAATGGTTAAAGGCTTGACTGCTAACCAAAGAGCTGGCAGTTTGAATCCAGTCAGGGGCTCCACAGTAAAGATTACAGCCTTGGAAACCCCATAGGGCAGTTCTATTCTGTCCTACAGCATAGCTGTAAGTCAGAATCAGATTGATGGCAACATTTTTTTTTTAATATTTCTTTATTTTGTATAAATGAGATAATACAGTATTTGTCCTTTTGCAATCAACTTATTTCACTCAATGTAGTGTTTTGAAGGCTCATCCATGTTGTGGCATGCATCAGGACTTCATTTCTCTTTATGCCTGAATATTTCATTGTATGTATGTATATATCATATTTTGTTTATTCATTCATCATTCTTCTGTTGATGGACACTTCAGCTGTTTCCAACTGAATGATGAAATAGTTGTGGTTAATACGAAAAGCACTGCAATGGACATTGATATACAGGTTTATGTCGCACTCCCGCCTTCATTTCTTATGGTTATTGAAATTACTAGGATTGAAGTTACTGGGTCATGTGATAGTTCTATGGTCAACTTTCTGAAGAACCATCAAATTGCTTTCCACAGAGTCTGTACCATTTTACATTCCCACGAGCAACAGATGAGGATTCCAGTTTCTCTACAACCTCACCAACACCTATTGTTTTCCGGTTTTTTGATCATTGTCATTCTAATGGGGGTGGGATGGTATTTCATTATGGCATCTCCCTGGTGGCACAGTGCTTAAGAGTTTGGTTAACTGAAAGGTTGGCTGTTGGAACCCACCAGTGACTCCATGAGTGAAAAGACATGGTAATCTGCTTAATAAAGATTACAGCCTAGAAAACCCTACAGGACAGTTCTATTCTGTCATATAGGGTCATTGTGAGTTCAAATCAACTTGGCAGCACACAACAATAACAAATTTTTTGGACTGATGGTGAATGAAGAACTTTTTAAAATTATATAAGAGTGGCTAGGAAAGTTACAGGATCAGGCCTAGGTTCTACCTAAGGGTCAAGGAAGAAATAACTCCATAAAAAGTGTGATTGGGTATGCAGAGAGGATGGAGTGGAGGATGCATATTACAAATAAAAAGTTATTATCCACAATATAGAAAGACAAATAATCCAATAGATAAATGAGCGAAGGATATATCTAGACATTTCCCAGAAAACCAAATCCAAAGGGCTACTAATGAATGAAAAGATGTTCAACCATATTAATAGTCGAGACAATCCAAATTAAAATAACAATTAAATAACCCTTTTGATGATTTCTGAAGTAATAATGGTTTTATATTTGTATTTTTTAAAGTACTATTGTTTTAATATTTATTGATACATGATGTCTGGGATTTGCTTCTTAATAACATGGGAGGGAGGGAAATAGTGTTCTAGTGAAACAAGAATAAACATTAGTTGATTATTATTGAAGCTACATGATGACTACATGGAAAGTCATTGTATAATTTGTCTACTTTTGTATATGTTTCCATGATAAGATAATAATAATAATAAAAGATAACAGGAATGCTTTTGACAAAAGGTAATGTGGGTCTGCCATGTACCAATGGCAATGGAACAGCTACAAAAAAAAAAAAAAGATGTAGGAGATGCTGCACAGGTAGAACCTCAAAGAGATAAAATGATTGAAGGAAAAAGAGGTCAAAGTAGAAGAGACTGATAAATAAAATAATTGGAGGACTAAAAGCAGAATTAAGTCTGGGTAATTAGGAAGACATTGATATCACAGAAATAGAGTCCGAGGGTGAATTGGCTTGATAGGCAATAGGATGGGGTCTATTTTAGACATGTATATGGTGAGCACAGCAAGCACAGGACTTGCATATTGACTGGGACAAGGTATTCTGTACACAGTTTCCACTGGCAAGTCACTGTCTATCTCTTCTCTCATTAGTTAGTTTACAGATGAAGGGATTGTCTACAAAGTGGACTGTCATAAAGTTGTAAAGAAAATTTAACGTTAACATTCAAAAACTTGTCACTAACTACTTAAGCAATGAAGTCTATATATTCCAAATCCAGGATATAGCAAACACTCTGTAAGTTTATATGAGAAGTATTAATGAAATAAACTGATCTCAAGATTCAGAGTATAAGTCAAAGAAGCCTTCAACAGCAGAGAGCTCAAAACCAAAAGTTATAAGTGGGGTATGATATCTGTAATGCCTCACCATAACATTCCAAGGATAAAAGCTAAAATCCTGAAAAGAACTGTATAAGTTATCTATTGCTTCCTAACAAATTATCCCTAAATGTAGCTCCCTAAAACAACAAGTATTTAATATCTCACAATTTCTGTGGGTAAAGAATCCAAAGATGACCTCTCTCGTTCAGGATCTCTCACAGTGTGGCAACCAAGAGGTTAACTGGAGTTACACCCATGTCAAAACTCAAGCTCACTCATGTGGCCATTGCTAATCCTCAGATCCTGCTGGCTGTTGGCTGGATATGGGCCTCTCCATAAGGCAGCTCACAACATGGCAGGTGGCTTCCTTTAGAGCAAGCAAGAGAGCAAGGGAGGGCACATAAGATGGAAGTCACAGTCTCTTTATAACTTTCTTAGAAGTGACATCCCATCACTTTTACTGTATTCTATTCATTACAAGCTAGTCACTAGTCCAGCAACGCACAAGGGAAGGGGATTACCCACAGCATGAATTCCAGGAGGTGATTATCACTGAGACCATTTTAGAGGTTCCTGGTAGCATAGTGCCTAAAACACTTTACTGCTAACCAGAAGGCTGGTGGTTCAAACCCACCAGCCACTCCCCAGAAGGAAGGTTGAGCAATCCTACTTCTATAGTGATACTGCCTCGGAAACCCAAGGAGGGGTCGCTTATGAGTCAGGGCCAACTTGATGGCACATAACAACAACAACAACAACCACAAGAACTGTGGAGGCCAAGTACATATGCTGTTTGTGTCCCACTAAATATTACAAAAGTTCCCTATCAGCACAGAGATTGCATTACATCTGTCTTTTCCATTGATACCAGAAGTAAGCATACTGAGTCTCCAACAGGACACAATGCAGTCTGGAGGTGTGATAATCACCTACAGAAAATACTCAGTTTTGAGTTCCTGGGGCTCGAGTAGCATGTCTTTTTCATTATTTGGTTCCCTGTGGCACTTAACACAAGACGAGCATTCAATAAAAATTGATTGAATAAAATAAGATGGAATTTGAGGTAGCATAGCTAAGAAAGGACAAAATAGGCAAAGTGTGAACAAAAGAGTTGTAGTGTGACCATTTTGAGTGGTCTTAGAGGTGTGTGATAGTTGGAGCTGTGTGTCAACTTGACTGGACCCCAGTTCTGTGAGGTTGTTCCCATGATGAGGTCAGATGACTGTGTTCTCAGTGGCCAATCTGCCCAAGGGGAGTTTCCCTAGGGGTGTGGCCTGCTTCCAAGATATCCAGGGACATCCTGGGAAGAGGGACATTCTTTGAGAGATTGGAACCCTGGTGTGCGGACTACAAACTTCCATGAGTGAGCAGCCCACCTCTCGGCCTGGAGATCTTGGATTCGTCTTTTGTTGGAGTCAACAACCAGTGTACTGCCTGCCAGCCTTGAATTTCTTGGCCCCCTGCACTTGCAGAAGCTAAGGCTGCTGCCAGCCCGAAGTATCCTCCAGGGACTTTGGACTTGCTGGCTTCTATACGTTTGTGAGCCATTTTCCTAAGATAAATTTCTCTATAGATAGATAGATAGATAGATATGCGTGTTGGTTTTTGTGTTTCTCTAGAGAACCCAATCTAACACAGAGGTGGTTCTCCCAGGCAAGAGCTCTCTTTTCCTCATTTAACCCTTCCCTCCAAATCCTGGGAGATTCCTGGCTGAGGTCAGGGTCATTTTCAAAAAACCTAGCCCAACCCTATTATTTTAAATCTTATATGCCTTCCACTAAACTACCAAAGCTCCCTTTTGTCTTGTTTTGTTTTTAATGCAGTTAAATATAGTATTTAAACTATTGGAATTTATCACTAATATGCTCACTACTGATGAAGACAAAGATAAACAAAGTCATAAAGAAATATTAAAGTAAGTGACCAAACTAATAAACACGTTAATTTATTCCAAACTAATTATTATACAAATACCATGTTCAAGGAAATGTATTATGTGGTCTGAGAGACAATACATTATCCAGGCCTTTGAAATATTTGAAATCTAATAAAGAAGATAGAAAGTACACAAATAAATATAATTCAGGGTAGAAAATGGTATGTGTAATAAAATATCATGTACAACTCTTCAACAACAAATCTGAGAAACAGGGAGAAATGGATGATATCACAGAAAAAACTTTCAAAAATTGACCCAAGAAGAAACAGGAAATTTGATTAGACAAATTACATAGGAAAATCTGGACATGTGAATAATATATCTACAATAAACTCAAAAATTATTCCATCTTTGTCTCTCGTCTTCCTCTCACATTCAATAAATACTGATCTAATTAAATGAAATAGAATTGGAATTTAATGTAGCACAGCGATGGCTAAGACATGGCAAATCAGGCGAAGTGTGAATAACAGAGTTGCAGTCTGACAGCAGTGAGCGGCCTCAGAGGTGGTTCCCGTAAGGCAAAAGCTCTCTTTTCCTTATTTGACCCTTCCCTCACTTGACCTTTGCCAAGTCCTGGGAGAGTCCTGGCTGCCGCTAGGGAGATGTTTAAAAGACTCAGCCCAGTCCTGTGGGGCTCAGCTCTAGTCTAACTTGCTAGCAGCCTACATTTGACCTTCCACTCCATTTTTAGTGACCAAGCTGTTGGCTTGTTTCTGAAGCAAAGTGTCCTCTGCCAGTGCTGGGAATTGGACCCTTCTCTGATATCAGTGACTCAATCCTAATCCTCAGATCCTGCTCAGTCTTCCATTATTGACATTGTTCCTATCCTGTTTTTGACAATCTGTCCTCCAACTGCCCCAAGGACTGCAGTCAGATTTCTGAACTCTAAACTAGCCCAGAACTTTGCCAGCTGCAGACAGACTTCCCAATATCAACTGCCTGCCAGGTCACTAAATACTTCCTACTCAAGGACCCTCTTTCTGTGCTCTGCCTGCCTGGCCAGGCCAAGTTACTCTCACGGTTTTATCCTCTGGTGACAATTACTTTCCTCATCCCTTCAACCCATATTTGCCCGTGTTTCTTTCCCTAACCTACTAGTTCTTCATCAAAAGTAATGCAAGTTTCCTGTGTCTGGCACCAACATCTCTTCTGGACTCAGCAATAGCCTCTTGATCTGTTTTCCTGTTTCTCTTGCTTGCTCCAGATTCTTCTCTCCTACTTCCAGAATGAACTCTTTTTAAAACATAAATTGAATAACATAATTTCTCTGTTTAAAACCTTCCAATAGCTTCCAATTGCACTTTGAATAAAATCCATCCTTCTTACCAGGCATGGTCATCAAGGCCCTGAAAGTTTTGAACCCAGCTTATCTCTCCAGACAAATCTCAAATCACTATCACTCTCTTTCTGACTCACTGGCCTCTCACTTGGCCAAGGAACAAATGGAAACTCTTCTGAAATCCTCTTACCAAGATTCCCAATGGATAGAAACTGCTCCTTGGGGATAGAGGACCATATCTGTCTCAGTCACCATTCATAGTCATACTCAGTGCATAGGACAATGCCTCACTCATAGTAGGTGCTCAATAAACATGTGTTGAATTAATTAGTTAGTTAATTAATTAAAGGTTTTTCACTCCCCATATTCCAACTGATCCCTCAGGTCTCAGCTTTATATAACTTCATCAAGAACAGGTTCCTTCATCGGTGTGGTTCCAGATCTTCTTTTATGAGCTCTCCTTCACATATTAGCCACCATGATAATTAGTTATTTGGGTGATGTTTCATTTCTGTCTTCTCCACAAGACTCTGTTTTTCTCTGTATCTCTGATACCTAGAGCACACAATAAGCACTCAACAAATGTTTGTTGAATGCTTTATTAACTGTGTTTCTTTGTTACAATTAAGCTTCATTAGAAGTTTCTACACTTCTTGGTCACAGTAAACTTAACTTTCAGTCCCAAAGTTGAAGAAAGTAGAGATCAGGGACCTAGAAGAGTCTGGGTCCCCATTACCAGTGACGGTAATGAATCTCAGGGGAAGCACAACTCCATCCAGCAAGAGAGGAATGAGAACCATGGATGAGTTAACAGTTTGAGCTGTGTATCTTGTGTATCTCTGAATTTCCATGGAGACCAAATAGAACCCCATAACAATCAAGGCCTGATGCTGGCTCCGCAGAGACAAAGATTCTGAATTCTCTGTAGACACCATGCCCCTGAATGGGCATGTACCATTAGCCAATAAGCCTCTTGAACCAAACTGAGTATTTGTCATATGAGTCTGCAACAGTCTATGTCTGTCCATTAGTCCAATATGGATGAAAGGATAATTAACTAGGTTTCCATGTCCCTTTCCTCAGGAAAGTGGTCTAGCAGTGACACTGTGGAAGAAGTAATAGAAGCCTTCTGAGAAACTGCTGACCCCAGAAGGGGAATATCCAGAGCCAGCTCCTCTCTGCCCTAAGGAGATCTAGGGATGTGTTGGTGACATATATAGGAAGCACAGTTAGGGAGACTGGTTGTTGGGAAATAGGGAGATTTGGTGACACATGCAGTACAAACAGGATAGAACCTGCCTATGTCCATGATCTGCTGACCATGTTACAGCTCCAGAGCATCTTTCACCTTAAAACTCTGGTGAGTCCCTCAAAAGTGTAGTCCTCAAGTAACATTGCAATCCCAGGAGCTTCCCATGAAAACAAGGCAATCCTGTCACAAGAACATCCTTGGAAGACAATCAAGCACCTTATCTAGTAACTAGTGAGGTAACCTGCAGTGGTGCAATTTTTAGAATGGGGAAGAGGAATCTGACCCCTCTGGACACTCTGCCTACAGGCCTGTCTTCCATTTTCAGGTGTCCACTAGCTAGCTGTGGCACACTTGATGTTTATTATCACTCTCACTATCCTGACTCATATTCATCTGATGAGTTACAAGAATCTCTCATCTTTTTCCTGCCCTTTTCCTGGGCAGCCATTTCTTTCCCCTGTCTCCCCTGAAATGTTCCACTCAACTCTTAACCAACTGAGCTCATTGTGTTGGGGTTTTTTTATTTAGAATTTAATTTATTGTATATAAGGAGCTTTGGTGTAGTGCCTAAGGCATTTGACTGCTAACCAGAAGGTTGGTGGTTCAAACCTACCAGCTGCTCCATGGAAAGAAGATGGGGCAATCCACTTCTGCGAAGATTTACCACCTTGGAAACCCACTGGGGGGAAAATGACAAAAAGAGGGAAAAAATATTATCCATAATCTTTCCATTCTCGCATATCAATGCTGTTAATTTGTCCATATTCCATCGAGTCCTTCTCCATAAAATCATACTTCACAGAACTATAAGGTAATGTGCTACATTTTCTCTGATTCAACTTTATCACATCAGTGCCTGTCTTGTTCTGAATAAAGTCAGCCCTTCTCTTCAGAAGCCTAGCCATAACCTGTCATTTCTGTAAGAACAACCAATGATAAGGTCTCCTACATTTCTATCCAGATCTCTAAGAACATTATTAAGCAAGAAAAAATCTCTAAAACAAATACATATTATATTCTCTATTATTGATATTGAACCAATGAACAATCCTAAATATCAGCATTTATTATTATTTCTTTTTATTACTGAGGGGATTATCCAAAAGTATGCCTAATTTGAGAGAGCTCTGGTGGTGTGGTGGTTAAGGCATTTGGCTGACAACCAAAAGGTCAGCCACATTTTGAACCCACCAACTGCTCCATGGAAAATAGATGGGGTAGTTTGCTTCCATAAAGATTTACAGCCTTGGAAACCCTATGGGGTTCACTATGAGTTGGAATCAACTCAATGGCAGTGAATTTGGGGTTTGTTTGTTTGTTTGTTTTTGGTTTATGCCTAATTTAATACCTAATTTCAAGTGCCTGCACTCTCCTCCCTCAATGTCATAGACCATGCATTCCTCAAAAATATCAGCTTAATGATATTTTTTTTTCTAATGATATATTAGGAGCTCTGGTAGCATAGTGCCTAAGGCACTTGACTGCTAACCAGAAGGCTGGCAGTTCAAACCC